TTCAGAAAACATACGTTACTACACACATTTTAAAACAAAGCGGATGTGTCTATCATCCTTTGCTAAAAAAAATAACATTTATCTTCCGGAATGGCTTGCGATTCATATCGGCACGGTAAAAACGTGTATTTTTCTATTAAGTGCTCTTTGAACGAACTAGTGTATTTTGCTATAAAATGCCTTTTGAACTAACTCTGTATATTGCTCAATAAACTAGTAGTGATGGCCGTAAAACAGGTTTTTTGATTAACAATTAGAAATTCTCGAAAACTACTTGACCAATCTACTCCAAGTTTGTTGTGGTTATTTAGAAGTAGGAATCCTACGAATTTGAAGAATTTGAAATATCTGCGAGAAACCATCGTTGCATTACCAACAAGTGCCAAAACCTGCAGTTTGCCTCGGTTTTCGGCCATAACTTTTTTACTATTAGTCGGATCTTTTTATGTGTGGTCTCATTTTGTAGGTCTCATAAATACCTAAAAATCTTATATTAAGAGTTTTTTCGTTCATGCCAACACTTTCGATTGAATCCCAAAAAACACGTTTTCTCATTCTTTGTTGTCGAATAAAAAGTTTACCCACAAAAATTGGTGTACCCATTTTATGCGTCCATGTTTTGAATACCCTCTTGAACAACTTGTAGCAATAAAACCAGACTTTACAATTATTTCGCAAACCAGGGGTATTTTCGTACAATATGATTAGACTAATTTTTGGATTTTCCTACTCGGTGTTGCCAAACTAACATAAAATTAATGATTAGAAAACGCTACATACACCTTAGGAAAAACCATTGTTATACATGGGAAATCATTTCTTGGCAACAGCGCATCGGCTCGTCTACTTTCATCGCTATTCGTACATATTTCCTACCGTTAACCGCAGACCTGTAACACGAATGAGAATAATAGGCAGATACGCTGTGTTGCCAATTTGAGTAGAGCTTCCCGAATTGTGGGGAATTTAGAGTTAAGTGTTGATTCATTCAAGCTTTTAATCAGCATGGCATAGACGTTAGAACTTCATAAAGATAACATTGAAGCTGAATGCTGCTGGAGTATAGTGTTTCGAATATTCAAAGCGGAGCGAGACACTATACTCGTTCAATGGGTCATCAAGCCACAGTCTTTTCAACAAAGAAATTATTTTACGAAAATGCGTTATATTTTTACGATTTTGTCGTCACCAAATCTCTGTTTCTCAAAATGTACGTCTATTGTAGAATTTTCAGCAAACTAAGCAAGAAACGTGATCTAGTATTTACTCAACATTACGGATTTCTCGAAATACATTTAAAAAAGTGACCTAGATACCTAACTGTCCCAAGCTCTTTAAATATAACACCTTAAACCAGGGTTACCAGGTGCTCAGTTACGTTGATTGTCATGTTGTACTGCGCAAGTCAGCAAACAATCTGGCGTAATAAACGTTAGGAATCATCAGGTATTGCCAGATTCCCGAATACCGGGCACCATAGTAACTGTTATAGTTGTCCTTCAAAGTTGTCAAATCGCCCCTATGGCGCAAATTCGCCATACCAGGCAACTGTGCTATAAACAAACCCTTTTTATCACTACTATTTGATAGTCATATGGTAGTTGTAGCCCTATCTAGCGGTCCATGATTTCTCTCAATACTATTGTATCTCTACTGGCAACAAGAATAGGGATTACAAAATCATTTATACAACAATATACAAACATGAAAAGTATGATTTGAACTATGAAACAATAATACAATTTTAATAGTTTGAACTTCTTTCATTTTTGGAATACTCTTATGTGGAATCCGCAGCTATTTTTCCCGAAATTTGGCTAGACTTAGATTTCTTAGAAATATGACATATTGGTATCGGCAACTCTGCGAATGAGAGAAACAAATCGCATTTGTTGAGCGCATCAGTCTAAGCGGTAGGCGCCAGCGCCCGTTCTGCCATCTCTCTCTTTTATCACTCTTCTACTTTACCCCGTTGTCCGTCACACTCCGACGCTGCCAAATAAGATCCTACAATCGAGTGTCTTTCACGCACCTACATACTTTTGTATATTTCCATCTCTCTTCCTCATCATAATTTATAATAATGGTTTTTCCCAAGGTATGTATATTGAGCTGAGTGGAGTCAGCTCAGGTTTTTGATGGCTACATCAAAAAGTGGGATGTTGTTTCTCGAACTCATCAATCATTGTCGTGAGGTTTTTTGATTCACCACGTTTCGAGGGATGTGATCTTCAATTAATCAAGTGACCGTACTTGAAATTTATCTGTAAATGAACGTTACTTTCATTTATTTTGATCTCTTCTTCGCTTATGTTCCACCACACATTAACTTTGTCATTTAAAGTGTACTTGTTTCTGAAAAGTCCAACTTTCAAGACAGCCTAATTTAGATTAAACTAGTTATTTGACATAAATACTAAAAAATAAAAAACAAAATAAAAAAAGCATTTTTTTATTTATAAATGTATTTTTTTTCATTTATTTTCAATATGGATCCGACGAAGGCAAATGTATACGATGGCAACTGTAAGTTCTCGGTCAGAGTTTGGTTTAAATGAGAACGAAAAACATGTTGTATCTCGAGGGATAGCTGACTGATATCCACATTTGACTCCAGTGAAGCGACGAAATTCTGTATAAGTAAACTGACTGAGTATGACACACGCGGCAGCACAAAATCCTAAATACATTTTCATTTCCATTCATAATTACGGCTTATAGATCACCCTTGAAATTAAGTTCTGTGAATAAAATGTGCTGCACCATGTGTTTACAAAAGATACTCACATCTTACGGGTGGATTCAGTCAATAAGATCCTCAGTATACACACTGTTGTTCTGGACAAAATGTTTAACGTTTTTGGTGGAATTGTACCTTCAAACTACTTTAATTATCTCTAGAATGGTCCGTACCATGGTTATTTACTGAACACCAATAACTACTGACGCCAGGCTACACGGTCAATAAATGTCACACTCCATGATAAATACTGACGGATCACAGTGAATATTGACCGTGTGACATTCGCCTAAGTGCCGTTTTTTTAATTGCTTAAATACAGAATTTTGTCTCAACCGTCTTATTTTTTAATATTCTCCCAAACCAAATAATGACCTAACGTAATGCGTGTGCTTGTATGAATTCATAAAATCTCACCGCAAGATTGTAAAATCGATAAAAAAAGCATTGTATCGTTTCGTGCAGAATATTAAGCAAGGTTCCAAGAAACAATTTTTATGGAATAAGTACATCGAGTATGATGACCGCGAGGCAACAAACAACAAGACGTGCCTGGGAATTGTTAATAAAGTAGAAGGTTGAAGGTTAATGAATCCTACATCCGCGAAATTTGTCATATCAGAACTAATTCGACATTTCAGAGGACATATATTTTTTACATTAAAGCAGACTTGAATGCAGAACCAGGAGGAGCAAATGCCGATGGCATATCGGTAGAAGAGAGTCAAATCACCCACATGGTGTAAAAATCGTATAGTTGAAATCATGAAAGATGACGATTACGTCATCATTTTAGTCTGTAGTAAAGAGAAAAGACAGCGATTTGTGAATATCTTTAATGAAGTTTCAGATATGTTAGACAGAGACAAAAAGAATTTTATTGTCTTAACAGACTGTATTGCTAATTTGCATGTATCCGAGAAAGATAGAGGATGTTTTCATGTTGCATCATCGATCATATTTGAAAGATGAATAGTTATGTTAAAGCAGGTTAGGTTGTTTTCGAATAATGCTTCGGTCTTTGGTGTTTCTCTCTTAAGGTATTCTAATCATAACTGCTTTTTTTCAAAAAAAAATCCCCACTAAAATTATTATTAAGGTATCACTCAAAACCATGGAATAAAATGAAAATAAAAATAATCAGTGAAATAACCTAACTTCGCACAATCATAATATAAATTTGTTGTCATTATGTTCCTGACATCGTGATTTTATCATTGACCATTGATTATTTCAGTACATTTTATGGTATGACGTAATAGTCATCTTTCGTGATTTTGACTATACTGTCGTCGCTAGTCAAGTAATGATAAATGATATTGAAAGTGTGAAACGTTCAAATGCAAATGCCAGCAAAGACATTCATTTAGTTCATCTCCATTACAAAATATTTACTTGACAATATGTGCCAAAAATTGGTACACGCTCTATGTTGCGGAACAAGCGCCACGCCAGGGAAAAATGCGTCGAGTACGTATTACACTTTTATTTGAAAACTTGACATGAATATGCTTCAGTGTCGTTTAAAGATTAAGACGTATAAAGCGGCATATTTCCAATTGGAAAAAATATTTCTAAATGTTCATTTCGATGTCTTTTATTTTATTTATGATGGTACCTTTTGGAGCAAGAGTCATTAAATGTTTATTCGCAAAATTCTTGTTACCGTTTTTCTCTATGTATACGGAAATCTGCTCATATAAGCCACGTGTACGAAGGTGAATGGTAAAATGAACATGAAAAAACTGAAAAAGTACCAAAGTTTATTGTTTGTTTCATAAAATTTTAGCGAATAAATAACCAGAATATCTTTTAAATAAACTAGACAAATTTGAAAATATGAATAACTTTGTTACTATAAATCCCTAAATACTTTACGTCTCTCTACAAAAAGAACTGCTGTTACACTGCTGCCATGTTATACAATAACCTTCCACTCGAATTTCCAAATTATGCTCTGAATTATTTTAAACAGAAGTCTTAGTCACTAGCAGCACATAATCACTCCCTCACGACAATTCTGTCACCCAATATACGTGAATAGCTTTGACAATTGGTCACATACGAAATCTCTATTTACCTTTACTCAAAACATAGATTGATGATTGTTTTTTTGGATCTTTTTTAAGCCGTTTAAATAGGTTAATTTTCTTGTAACTAAATATTAGGATGTACGTTTGAGTGGAAAAATATCATCATCCCAACACTGCACCGATTCGATTCTCAAAATTTTAGTGACTTTTTATGTCTATTCTTGTATGCTGGATGTATAATGTAAAATAATCGAATAAAGGCAATTTATTATTATTATTCTCGTTTCTGTTCCAAACATATTGACCCATGACTGTATGTACATATGTTGACGTTTCTGATAATATAGAATAACATTTGGGAAAGGAAACCTTACACTACTTCCCTTATCAAAATCATCATCATTGTCACCACAACACCATGTATCACCAAATTGTAATTACTTTTACGCTAATAAAACCTTTCAACAATGCGATATTAAAACATATATTTACAATACTTGTCTGACAGCTTATTACGTAGGAAATACACATACCTATTTATGGACAATTGATGATCGATGAAAATTGTGTAAGAGTACAAAATCCAGGGGCCTGCTTTTCTATAGTAAAAAGCATACGGAATTACTAATAGTAGGGTCACGCAGCGGTCAAACCAGTTTCTTTCTAGGAAGCTCTTCCGCCCAAGAGGTAGTGATTGGTCGGTAATGCTCGACGGTCATGTATTGCGTGCCCATTGAGGGAATGCAAGGCGATATTGTCAAACATTGTGAATGAAATATACATTTTATGTTGCAATTTGGAATACCTATATTCATTGACTCTAGTCATGAACTCACGGAGATACAGGGTGAGTCAACAGTATACTGCTTAGGTGGAAAATACTTTTATCTCTACATTGATGGATGATTTATAGCTATGAGGTGACCCAAACATATATTTTTTAAGAGGCACGTACCGATTTTAAGGGCTCTGGAGACGCGTCTCTATTTGCACCTGATTGGCACACCAAGTGTGCTGATGAATCAGTTAACAACCATTATTATTAAAAAAATAAGTTAATGACGGATCAAATCACTATGTTGAGTGCGGTAATGAGCTCAAAATAGCACCCAGCACATCACTAGAGATATTTTCTCGCACAAAAAACGGCATAATATTTTTAAAGACAATTAAGATTGCAAATCTTCATTCTCTTTTATGGCTTCAATATCGGTATCAAACGGGACAACGGAATTTCCCAGGTTAACTTGATTTGGTCTGTGAGGCGAAACCGTTAGACACTAGAAAGTGAAAGTAGAAATTCAAATTGATTCCAAATTTATTATGACAGCACTATAGCTTCTCAACATTTTCAAATCGAGCACCCTGTATACTTTCTTTCATTGATTCCACTTTTCACAAGCTTTCTTTTAATACAAGGTTTATCGAGGTTGGTAGGACTGCTTTTCGAGCTACAACTCCCCCTTTTGTAAATCAGATATCAAGGAAAAAGAAAAATATAATATCTTTCAGAATAAAAAAAAAATGTTATAAATTCTATCTATATATCCGTATAGAGGCCGCCACCAAATATTTATTTTTTGAAAATTATCCCTATTTATAAAAAAGGGGGACAGAGATGCCGCCGTTAATTACAGACCAATTGCTATTATACTTATAATTGAACATTTTTTTAAATTTTTGTGAAATATTGTCCTCTCAGGTTGGTTGTGAGATCTAAACCAGTAAAACTTCTAGGAATAGTACTTGATACCAGACTAAACTGGACATCACACATTGATTATTTTCATTCTAGAATGTCTACACAATTATTTGTTCTCGGGCATCTAAGTAAATGCCTCGTTAACCATACTTTGCGGGTAGTGTACTTCAGCATGTTTCTTACTCACATTGCATATGGCACAATGCTCTGAGGAAACTCAGTAGCAACTAGCAAAATTTTCTCTTTACAAAAAACGGCTTTGAGGATAATTACAAACACTAGTTATGAATCAATGTGCAGAAATCACTTCAAAAATCTACGAATATTACCACTTCCAACAATTTATATTTTTGAAGTTGTATGTTATGTGCACAGAAATCTAAATAAATATCAAACATCTGCAGAAATAGAGACCCATGCACTACGCAATGTAAATTACCTAGGGAATCCATACTCGCGACTGAATATGACTAGAAATTAAATGAAATAACATAAGTTTGAACATATGTCTAATAGTTAATTTTCAAATTTTGCTAAAAAAAAAAAAACGTTTAACTACTGCTTCTATTCAGATGATGAGAGCGTTGATGCTATGTCGTCACTCGGATAGATAATAACTTAGTTTGTAAAACCTCACATGAACCTGTACATTGTAAATGGATAATGTGGTCAATAAATGATATAGTACGCAAAAAATCCAAATTAAACTATTTTTCCGAGCAGATGTGAAAACACTACCTGAACTAAAATGATCTCAGACGTCGGACTCCTTCGCCTGAGGTTACCGCTTTGCTAGCGATGTTAAACGTTGTGCATGAATTATAGCTCTTGGGCTGTAATCTGGAATATACTCATAAATATTACTGAACACAGAAAACACTCTCTACGGGACACATGCATTTATGCATATTTTTTATATCAACCAATAGCGTTAAGTGACATGCTGAAACCTAATGTGACATCTGAAACGTATCAAGTGGTTTTCATGTTGATAATCCCCCATGTTTATCTGGCCAATATGTGCTCAAAGTTCTTTATTGTATATGTTTTGGTTCCAACGGTGACCCTCCCCAGTACAATTGACATCGTTTGTCAATGTTATTTATCTGTCTTTCAGGTGATATAAGCTTCTGTTGTGCCTCGCGGGCTGGAGACGCATGTTGCAAAACACTGGGTTGACAGCTGAGTGATCTTACTATTAGTATGTCTTATACCTTGAACGCTATATAGCCTCTATTACGCAGCTATGAGAATAATGGACTGTTCTGGTAGTTCCTGAGGAGCGTTCTGACAACTATGGGATGAGCGTACATGGGCAGATCATCCAAGTGGTCTTTGATGAAGTCCAGTACTTTTTGTTCAATTACCTTTGGATAGCTGAGCGCTTTAAAACGCTCTTCTAACGAATCTTTTGTGTCTGTTGATAGCTGTAAGAAAATTTAGATAATGAATAGTTCCTCTTTTTGAATGCAAAATTGCCAGCTTGGCGGTCTCTAGGAATAGCTTGTTCCGAAATATTTTTATTCCAAAAGTTTCTCGAAACCTTTGATTCTTGTTTCATTACATAGCATGGAGAAGGTAAATCGAAGGTGTGGGAGACATCAGCTCAATAGTGCGACAAATGCATTGATTGACCTTTGTACATACGTAGAACTGCGACGGTCGATTATGCAAAAAGTTAACGTTAACGATAGTTATGGAAATTTGGATCTATAACTGATGGGAGGAATTCGGATAAAATATTTTCAAAATTGTGGTACTATCGGTTGTATATACGAACTTGCTTTTTTGAAATGGAACCTGTACAGTCAATTCTCATAGCTGTTTGAGTAATCGATCGCTGCAGTTTTACGTGGGTCACCGCGTATATGTTCTATCTCCCTATTTCCATCAAAATAGTGAAATGATATCAAGGTATGTTAAAAATAATAATGGTATTATGGTGAATACAATACATTTAATTACCTGTTGCCATTTGGATTCTTCGTACGCTTCTATTACTTCATCTATTATGGATTCGCCAATTTCACCCTGTTTGTAAAATATAATAATAATGCCTTTATTAGCTGCAGTGAGGCGAAGTTTAGCCAGACGGCTACTCTTACACTCAACCCCACAACAGGAAAAAAGAATACTTAAACACATAAACTAAGCTTCAATGAACAACTAAATAGTAACAAGCATCTCTGGAAAGCTGTACATTCATTGAAACTCAAAACTAATGTAGATAGATCTTTACCTACACAGTTGAAGAATGCCGATGAAGTAAACAATTATTTTTCTTCCGTTTTCACGCCTTCGGGCAATTGCAAGGATCTAGTTGATAAATTTAATAGTACCAAAATTAATGAAAGTGTTAGATTTGAATTTAGTTTTGCTACCCCACAAAATGTGCTAGACATTATTCTGTCCCTAAAATCTAATGCAGCAGGTTCGGATGGTATAACAGTCTCAATGCTGAAGCTTTGCTTGCCTCGAGTATTACTACCCCTGACGCATTTATTGAACTGTTGCCTGGAGGCTGGGTATTTCCCTGATGCTTGGAAACTATCTCTTGTCAAACCCTTGCCTAAATGTAAAAATCCAAAATGTCTCTCAGACTTAAGACCTATAACTTTGATTCCTGTTATATCGAAGATATTGGAGAAATTGATTAAACATCAGGTTTATCATTATTTTTCTAATAATGATTTCTTTCCCAAGTGTCAATCTGGTTTCCGCAGTGGTTTTAGTACAACTACAGCTTTAGCAAGGGTTTTAGATGACATCATTGCTTCGCTTGATAAGGGAGATGCTTCAGCACTTGTATCATTAGATTATTCTAAGGCGTTCGATAAAATAGATCATGAGCTTTTATGTGCTAAATTGAAGTTTTTTGGTTTTTCAGACATACCTCTAATGTTTTTTATAACATATCTTTCAAATCGTAAACAAGTAGTAGAGATAGACAACACTATATCTAGTCCGATTGATATAACATCAGGTGTCCCTCAGGGTTCAGTTTTAGGGCCCTTGTTGTACTTAATTTATACTATAGACTTGGGTAGCTCTGTGAAAAACTCTTCTGTGATGTGCTATGCCGATGATACACAGATATATAAAAGCTTTAATAGTAACACTTTGCATACTTCAATCAATGAGCTTAATGATGATTTGGAGGCAATAGTAGGATACTCAAATGGTAATAATCTTAAGCTCAATAAGGATAAGTGCTCAGTGATGCTTTTTTGTCCTGCTGTCAAACGTAACACTGTATTGAATTCTCTTGATGTAAAAATCGACAAGGAGCGTCTAGCTGTCGTAAATACTACAAAAAATTTAGGGTTGATTATTGATTATACTTTACGGTTTAAGGAGCATGTTTCGTCTATCTTAAAAAAATGTTATGCAACGTTGAAGTGTTTTTATGTCAATCGCTCTATTTTGAATTTTAAAGTTAGAAAAAAGTTATGTGAGGCTATTATATTTCCAAGCTTATTTTACTGTAGCACTGTGTTCTATCATTGTCTTGATTCTATCACAAAAGCAAGACTCCAAAAACTCCAAAATACTTGTTGTCGATTTGTATTTAATCTCAAGAAGTATGATCATGTTTCCTTAAAGAGATTTCAGCTTGGTTGGATGTGTATAGAAAATGCTTGCAAGTACCATATAGCAGTGTTTACACATAAGATCATATCTTCTAGATCCCCCTTGTATCTTTATGAGAAATTTGTTTTCAGACGAAATAATTCAGACATTGATTTCAGACACAAAAAAAGACTAGAGATCCCTATGTATAAAACAACTTTATTTCGTAGTTCATACACTTACAATGCTATCCTGATTTATAACGAATTAGATGACAATATAAAAGATTGGCCAGTAAACAGATTTCGTAAGCATGTGAAACAGATTTATTTGTCATTGTAGTAATTGTGGAAAAGTTAGTTTTTAATTCTTACATTTAATTTTATTTTACGTAATATATGTGTGTATATATGTATGCTAGGAAGCTATCAAGCTCGTTGTTTTGAAGCGTCTTTTGCTTGTCAAAGTTTCCTTTGATTGAGTGTTTCAATTTAGTATTTGGGTAGGTTAAGTAGAGTAGCCAAGAGCTACACTTCGCCTACGTAGAGGTCTTATTATGTTGTAGTGTATATAATGTGCCTAATAAAGACATTTTATTATTATTATTTTTATAAACAAAATAATAACATACCAAAAAAAAATACAATTCATAAGAATGAAAACATTGATTGCACGAGACAAATGCAGATAGTATTGCGAGAGTTTTAAATTTGAAACAAAAAATAGTAGAAAATAGTCAAACAAAAAAAAATCACATGAACACAAGAAAGACTGAACTAAAGCAGCTGACTTTTCATTAATTTCTTAAAAGAAACAACCTGTTTGGATCGATAGCCACTGTTGACTGCATTGTAATGCTTGACAGCATTATAGGTGTAACTTCTTTCAAAGACCGAGGTATTGTGAGGAGGCATGTTAAAATTAGCATTAAATCTAAGAGCTCTGGTAACAAAACTACCTCGGTGAACTAATTTGCTAGCGAGGTAAGCTGGTCTGTTAGATAATAGAACTTTATGCGTGAAGACGGTCAAAAGATATAAAAATAACTTATCAATTCGCAACCAGTTGAGTTCTTTGATTTTATCTGAGACGCGACTAAACTTGCGCAATCCAAAAATAAACCTACAACAGCTGTTCTGAATTTTCTGGAGTTTCCTTTTGTGGACGTAGTCTAAACATGGGTAATAAAGAACAAGAGAGTAAGAAATGACAGACAACACAAGACTTTCAGCGAGCTTTTTTCGGGTTTTAAAATTCAAGATCGATTAGAATAGAGAAGTTTCAAACGCATAAACGTTACTCTAGATAAGAAAGAGACATGCCGATCCAATCTCATATTTAAGTGAAGGGTAACACCGAGATTCTTGGCGTAATCCACAAAAGGGATGAGTATCTCATCCAAAAAAACACAAATCCTCTGCTTCATTTCACGGTAGGAGTTCTTCGAACAGTACAACATTGCAGTAGTTTTACTAGGATTGATCTTCAAGCAGTGTTTGTTACAGTAATCACCGATGTTAGCCAAATCTAAATTAACTTTAAAAGAAACTTCATCAACCTTTGATGGATCGAAACCAAACACTAACTGAGTATCATCTGCATAAGTTTGCATACTACAGTGGACTAAACAGTCTTGCAGATCGATTGTATAAATCAGATATAGTAAGGGACCTAATACTGAGTCCTGAGGACTCCTGAAGGAACTGGCTCAGAGGAGGAAATTCCCTGATCAGTTTTCACTGTTTGTTGACGATTTAGCAAGTATGACTCAAAGAACCTTAGAACTATATCTGACATTCCATAATGAGATAACTTACACAGTAGTATCTGGTGATTGACCATATCAAAGGCTTTCGAGAAATCTAACAGTACCAAGACGGTGTTGATGTGATTATCTAAATTGTGAATGATGGAATCAGTAAGATGTAATAAAGACGAAGTAGTGCTGTAACCAGCTCTGAAACCTGACTGATGTAGAGGAAATAAGTGGTTTTGTTCGAAAAACTCCACTAGTTGTGAGTAGACAGCTCTTTCGAGTATTTTTGATAGAAAGCATAATAAGGTAATTGGCCTGAGATCCGAATATTGTTCTGGATGATTAGTTTTAGCTATTGGAATAATAATACCATTTTTCCAACTGGCAGGAAAGTAACCTGTTTCGAGACAGACATTAATAATGTGAGTTATATGGTCTATGGTATCAGGCAAACATAAGCAAACCATATTTAAAGTTAGACCATCAGAGCCACATGCCGTAGACTTAATGTGAGAGATTATATTGACGATGTCTTGTTGAGTAAACAGAGGTGCCACGGTGTATGGCGTCTATCGCTATAAGAGTTAGAGACACTATCAATCAAATTTGGATCAGCTGCAGCTGTCTGGAAAATTGAAGGAAAATAATTATTTAAAATGTTAGGCTCAAGGAGACTGGGAGGTATCGCAACATGTTTCTGGGCTACCACATTCATCCTCCTCAGGTGTTTCCAAGCTTGACTAGAGTTAAGATTCCGGAAACGTGACATATATGCTTTTTTCTCTCTTCTAAGTGATGCAAGGGCATAATTTCTCAAATCTTTGTAGCTGGCCCAATTCTGATCAGATCTGTTATGCTGATAGACAGCGACTGCCTCGTCTCTGAGTTGAAAAATCATTTTCAAGTTAGGAGTGAGCCAGGGCACAGCAGGTTTTGTGACACGTACTGTACGTAGCGGAGCGTAGAGATCGAATAGATAAATGAGACGGCCAGTAAAAATAGAGACTTTAATATCCACATCATTCACGAAATAAATGTCATTAAGCTGCATTGATGCAATCTGCATCTTAAAACTTTGAATATCAATGCTATTAAGATTTCTATATGTTACAATTTTAGGCTCTATTTTTTTATAACAAACGGAAATATCACAGTATGTGAGCCGATGATCACTAATTGAGTATGCATTGAGTGTCCCTGACCTTTTGACGATAGTATTGTCACTAACAAATATTGGATCAAGTAATGTGGAACTGAAGGCTGTAACACGTGTAGGCTCATGAATGACTTGAATGAAATTGAATGAATCAAAGCAGCTGCTGAGGATGTTGTTATGAGCAAGCAAGTATCGTCCAAGAATATAATGTTGTCATATTGGGGAGTGAAAAATGAGATAAGATTTTCTAAACACTGGATGGCTTGATGTATAGAGCAATATGGTGGCCTATATATAACAACAATTAAATATCATGTTCAATGTACTCAAAATGCTGAAGAAATAATGAATAGGAATGATAAAATTATTAGTATACGAAATTTTGTCAGCAGTGGTGGATAAAACTTTGTTTGATTACTACTGATGCCAGATTACATCCTTTACGACTTCGGCTTCGTAGGACGTAATACAATTGTTTAACGTATTGTAATGCCCTCGTAACTGGAACCTTCGTAACATCGACGCTTAGGCAACCAATTATGCCGCCACGTATCGAGGGCGTTCAACACGGATCGGTAAGCATCTACCGCCATCGAGAAACATCGAACGCCATGTAGCAAGCTCCGATTAAGGCTAGAGAAAACGCGGAATTGCTCTGGACTTGCCGAATGGAAGATAAATACAAACAGATGGCAGAGCAGGGGCATAGCCATCGATGAGCCAGCAACAGCGCAAGACACGATCGTCCAGTCGACACGGTTATACATTTGTAATAAATTAGTGTGATAGCAGACTTGATAGTAAAAACGGTATTTTGGCTACAGTGTCCTTGAAGATAATCAATGTAATTCAATAATCACGCGTCCGAAAAATTATTCAAGATAAAACGATTACGTAGCGTCACCGATGAGAATTTGTCACAGCCATCTCCTTTCCGAAATCATTAGAAATTTACTTTGAAAAGTTGAGTGTCTCATAGATGGCGTTAAAGCCAACTATATATGAGCATATAGTTATAGCACCATCTACGAGACACTAACCTTTTCAAAGTAGGTTTCTATTTATTGCGTAGAGGAGACTCTCATAGATGACGCTATAATATCCCATTTCATCTCCGATAATATTTCGGACACTGGATTAGGTAGTATCAGGTATCTTCAGGTGGAATGCGCTAATCAACGGTAATACGCCGACAAACTTAGATACCTTTTTTTAGCAACAAACTTTGTATTTTTAAGAGGGAAGACTCTTAAGTACAAATTATTGTCATTTTCGTTCTGATCGCAAAGTTGTAACACTGACGGTGCACGTGAGGTCTGAATTTCCCATTTAAAAATAACTCACATTTGAAAAGATATCGAAAAAGACAATGAGGAATAAATTTTATATTAGTACATAATAAACTATGCTCGAAATAAATGATTTCCCCCTTTTGGACTGTAGTATAACTTACCAGAGAAGACGTCATAAGTTTGTTGAGTTCATTCAGTAAATCGTTAAACTTGTCATGGTAGATGGCATACGCCCAAGGTTCTTTGAAATATTCGAAGAGATCTGTGATAAGCACCGTTTCGAATCTCAGCTGGATGTTGTTTAATAACTTCTCGTGCTTACCCCAGAGGCAGTAGATGTTGTAGACATCAATAGGCTATGAAAATATTATATCATAAGAATTAAACATACGTTTTTGCGTAACAGCTAAATTATAGATAGAAAAATCGATAAGTATACTTTATTGTCTGAAGAATACGGTCATTATTAATGACAAAGCTAACTCTAAACTGAACTATAACATAATTACATTTAAGTTCACAGCGGAATGCCTTAAATTGTTATTTCTTTTGGTAGCATATAATATATAAAATTCATAACTAATGAACAAAATCTAATTGCTGAAGTTAAGCATACTCCAAAGATAAGTGATCACTCATGGATATATTTCGAAGTGGGAATATGTTCAATGAAAATACTAGTAAAATGAAAAAAATTTCAGTCATTGAATTCATAAGATTACGAGAAACACTTTGACAACACAATATACCTGAAATTATCGATAATGCCGACAACTACTTCGAACAAATTATGAATAATATGGATAAATATATTAGTAAAGCTATGGTCAAGAAAATAATATATGAAAGAGTGAACCTAACACCTTGGTTTTCACAGATATTCAAGGAGTCTAAATTAAAACGCGATAACGATTACAGAAATTTTTCAGTTACCCAAAGTGAAAATGATTGGAAACAATAAACAAAATCAAGAAATGAGTGTGTAGCAGTTCTCAGGACGGAAAAGAAAAAATACTATGATAAGAAGATCGATAGCAATAAAAATAATTCTAAAATGATGTGGAAAACATTAAAGAATATTGTTTCTCCTAATAATAAAGTTAGGGTTTTCCTTTTCAGAAACAACTACCCTTGAAATAACAAAGGTAATGTGTAGTGAAACGAGGGCGACCAAGTAAAAAAAAATAAAGGAAAAAGTACTCACTCTCCAGTTGACGAGAAGTGCTAAGTACGTCTCTGCCCGAAATCATACCGCTCCAACAGAAAATGAAATCAGCTGAAGTGCTACCGAGCAGACGCAGGAACCACATTGATTGTCTTACACTTAATGACACATCTTCTAACAAGGAAGGCAAAATGTTACGTAATTGCGTGCGGATTTTCTACTGACCAAACACGAGTGTTGCGAAAGTTATTCACCCCATTTCGCGTGAACGTAGATTCGTCTGTCACCAATATGCACTTCAAAAAGTCCGGATTATTGTCATGTTGATGCAACAACCACTCACAAAACCGCACTCTTGCTGGAAAATCGTCAGGTTGAAGGGCTTGTACACGTTGGACGTGAAACGGATACAGCCCCTCTTCACGCAGCGTTTACCAAACTTTAGTTTTTGATACTTGCACTTCTCTAGCCACGTCTCTCGAGATTCTCGTCTACGCGATTACCTCTACATGCGTGACCGTAACCATCGGTTGAAGGTTGCATACTGACCTGACACACTGACGCCGACCCAGTTCTGCCGTCGGGTTGAAACCTTGTACCAATCTGTGATGTCCCGGGTCGCGGCTACAGGACGGTATTCAGATATTTTTGATGTTGCAGAGCCCTTTATCTCGGTTGCCTTAAGACATTGGTATATATGGTACTAAGAAAAATTGCTTATGTTTTCAAGATCTACACGTCGTGTAAAGGAAAACCCCAACTTTGCGGACACCCTGTAGAAAGACTGAATTATCTAAAATGCGTTTCGAAGATGGGGTAGTGACAGACAAATTAACTATAGCAGAAAGAATGAACACTTATTTTCTAGAAAGTGTAAATCAAATAGTGAAGACGATTGATGACGCTGATCCAAACTCATGTCCATTACATGTTTGTCAGAATAATTCATCAATGAAGTAATTTAGGACAATTAACATCAACAATCTAAGAAAAGCGATCTCAAAATTGAAATCTAATAAAAATCCAAGTGAGAATCTCTCAAAAAATATTCTAAATGATTATTTCAATATAATTGGAGAGAAATTATTATTATTTGTGAATCATTGTTTAGTACATGGAGAATTCCCGTCAAAATTAAAGTGTTCCACCATTACTCCTGTGCCAAAAGTTCAAAATTCTCAGCTGTATACAAATATGCGACCGATTAATGTCTTGCCCGATGTCGAGAAGCTATTCAAAGGGATAATATACGAACAAATCATAGAATCCATTGAAGAAACAAAAATTGATAAAAAATCAAGCTGGATTTAGAAAAAATGTTCCACAGAAACGGCAATGCAGATGGTGGTGGAAGACTGGAGAGGAAGTATAGATGAGAAAGAATATATTGTAACAATATTTTTAGACTTCAAACGGGCATTTGAGACTATAGATAGGGAAAAATTGATAATGAAATCGCGTCACTATGGCTTTAAGGCCGGTATCGTCAGTCGTCCCTACAATTGTAGGGCGCGTTTATGGCCTCCTTGATTGTCATCCTCTTTTCTCTCCTTCAAAAATTTCTAGATTACACTTGTCCCGTGTCAGCGTCAGCGCTCTCCTATTGTGAAGATATGTTTTCTTTTTAAATTGTAGGAAATTTCAGGCTGATAAAACATGATATAACTCAAAAGCAAGCACAATTTGATGCAAATAGATGTTTGTGACATAACCTCAAAATAGAGTTCTGACACGGAGAAGCAGAAAACTATGACAATCAAGGAGACCACAAAGGCGCCCCACAATTGTAGGGACGACTGACGATACGGGCCTTAAGGATCAGTATTGAACATTTTACAAAATAACTGTAAATAGAAGTCAAAAAACTAACGTTGGAAATGTTATGTCAAGTGTTCAAAATATATCAGTAGGGGTGCCACAGGGAAGTAAATTAGGGCCGTTACTATTTATTATTTATATAAATGATATCTCTGATATTTTAGAACACTGCAAAATTTAAATATTTGCGGACGATACACTCTCCATATATATATACAGGGTGTCCGCAAAGTTGGGGTTTTCCTTTTCAGAAACAACTACCCTTGAAATAACAAAGGTGATGTGTAGTGAAACGAGGGCGACCAAGTAAAAAAAATAAAGGAAAAAGTACTCACTCTCCAGTTGACGAGAAGGGCTAAGTACGTCTCTGCCCGAAATCATACCGCTCCAACAGAAAATGAAATCAGCTCATGCGCTACCGAGCAGACGAAGGCAAACAAGGAAGGCAAAATGTTGCGTAAAAAGTCTAGATATTGCATCCCGTCCAATCGATTTGGGAGAATAAATGGTCCAATGAGCATACCGTTCACCATGCCAGCCCAAACATTCACCGAAAATGTTTGTTGAAAATGTGCCCGACGGACACCGTGCAGATTTTCTACTGACCAAACATGAGTGTTGCGAAAGTTATTCACCCCATTACGCGTGAACGTAGATTCGTCTGTCACCAATATGCACTTCAAAAAGGCCGGATAATTGTCATGTTGATGCAACAACCACTCACGAAACCGCACTCTTGCTGGAAAATCGTCAGGTTGAAGGGCTTGTACACGTTGGACGTGAAACGGATACAGCCCCTCTTCACGCAGCATTTGCCACACTTTAGTTTTTGATACTTGCACTTCTCTAGCCACGTCTCTAGTGCTTGTTGAGCGATTCTCGTCTACGCGATTACCTCTAGACGCGTGACCGTAACCGTCGGTTGAAGGTTGCATACTGACCTGACACACTGACCCCGACCCAGTTCTGTCGTCGGGATGAGCTAGTGTCCTAGTACCAGTCGGGGATGTCGCGGCTACAGGACGGTATTCAGATATTTTTGATGTTGCAGAGCCCTTTATCTGGGTTCCCTTAAGACATTGGTGTATATGGTACTAAGAAAAATTGCTTATGTTTTCAAGATCTACACGTCGTGTAAAGGAAACCCCAACTTTGCGGACACCCTGTATATATATAGAGAAAATAATCATGCGGAGAAATGTATATAACAAAAAAATAGGAAAATAATGGGCAAAATCCGCAAAAAGGAGGAAAGTGGATTCGAGCAGAAAATAGGATAGGTAACCCGGGCGATACGTATTTCTGCTGGTTGGCTTCATCAGGCCCGAAATGAATGCACATATGCAACTACAAAAGTAGATACACATGCTCATACATCCGGATACGGGTGTAACCTGAGGAAATAAAGATAGATGGGAAAAATCACATACGAAGTCCACAACAAGAGCCAACCTACACATTGTAGTATAAAATAGCTAGAAGACCTCGAATTTTTAAGGCGACATCTAACCACAACCACGCGGCCGGTTATAGCCACTTGCTGTGGTACTTCAAGCCCAAAGGATCTACAAAGAGAAAATAATCATGCGGAGAAATGTATATAACAAAAAAATAGGAAAATAATGGGCAAAATCCGCAAAAAGGAGGAAAGTGGATTCGAGCAGAAAATAGGATAGGTAACCCGGGCGATACGTATTACTGCTGGTTGGCTTCATCAGGCCCGAAATGAATGCACATATGCAACTACAAAAGTAGATACACATGCTCATACATCCGGATACGGGTGTAACCTGAGGAAATAAAGATAGATGGGAAAAAATCACACACGAAGTCCACAACAAGAGCCAAACTACACATTGTAGTATAAAATAGCTAGAAGACCTCGAATTTTCAAGGCGACATCTAACCACAACTACGCGGCCGGTTATAGCCACTTGCTGTGGTACTTCAAGCCCAAAGGATCTACAACGAGAAAATAATCATGCGGAGAAATGTATATAACAAAAAAATAGGAAAATAATGGGCAAAATCCGCAAAAAGGAGGAAAGTGGATTCGAGCAGAAAATAGGATAGGTAACCCGAGCGATACGTACTTCTGCTGGTTGGCTTCATCAGGCCCGAAATGAATGCACATATGCAACTACAAAAATAGATACACATGCTCATACATCCGGATACGGGTGTAACCTGAGGAAATAAAGATAGATGGGAAAAATCACACACGAAGTCCACAACAAGAGCCAACCTACACATTGTAGTATAAAATAGCTAGAAGACCTCGAATTTTCAAGGCGACATCTAACCACAACCACGCGGCCGGTTATAGCCACTTGCTGTGGTACTTCAAGCCCAAAGGATCTATCCTATTTTCTG